CCTCATCTGTACAACCAGGTTGAGCTTTGAGCTGACCAGACTTTAGCTGTGCAATATACTCATGACATTTTCGGTATCCTAAACAAAAAGCTGACCGTAGGAAACCGGCATAACGGTTCAGACCTTCATCGAGTAAATGTTTCTTCTCCTTGAGCAGTTGTACACTAGGCGTCACATCGCCTATTCCAATCGAGAACCCTCGATTTGACAGAAACACTGGGGTCATTCGCGCGATCCGCCACCTAAAACTTGCTTATTCATTCTAGAAATATTCTCAATAGTCGAAGCTTTGCACAAAGATTGAAGAGACAGAATGACAGAATCAAGTAACGCAAAAACATATGACTCTGGGAGTACGAATTAACGATTTGTTTTGAGAAAAGACAGCTTCAACTCACATGGCCTCAACAGCGGCGTCTTCACCGAAATCCCGCAGAAGGATGTAAAAAATGTTCTTTTTCGAACCAGAACCCAGCAGCGACTTATCCAAAACTCCAGCAAGATGCTCACCATTGCGTATGATAACGTAAGAATCCTAACAAAATTCGATTATTGGGAGACAAATAAAAAGACGACTATATTCACCTTTACACAAAACTCCCTGCCGCCGGTATAGCTCTTGTTGGCCGTGACTAGATTCAATTTCCGCGGATTTTTGAAGTCATCAGATATAATGAGTTGCATGAGCTGAATGGAAGCGCTTTGAGATGCACAAACATAATCTATACCGAATACCTGTTTTCCAGTCCACAGCCGTGCAGGCTTTATGATAGCTGGTGGTGGTAAGCGTATTCGTTTCTGCTTCTTCGCATAGCAGTCGATGACTGCTGCAGCGAATCGACAAGCCTGCCATGAAGCGAAATTGAGAAAGAAACTGATTTCATAAAGCTACCCTTACCTCACTATATGTGAGGAATGTGTCTTTGTGCGTCAGCAAATAGGCCCCAGTGATGAAATCCTTAAAAAAAGCGTTTTCCTAGTTTCTGGGAAAAGAAGGAAAGCTCTACTTGCAGCAGATTTTTAATGTTATACATATCGCTGTTTGGAAGCGCAACCTCTCGCTTATTACAGTATCCCATGTTTCTTGCTATCTTGTTAGCTGATCTTTGCAGACAGCAACTCCGACGACAAGCTATCAACAACATGTATAAAAACGAAGAAATGCTAGACAATGCGGTGGTAAAGAGGAACGACGGACGAACATCTTTATCAATTTTATCTTCATTCTTTTTCTCCAGAACTTGCGTTTTCATGGCGCTAATAATCCTCACGCGTCTTTTGGGCATTGCCGCAGGAATCACCAAAAATCGCTTGACCAAAGCCATAGAGTAGACATTCGCTTGCAGTTATCTGCTCAGCATGTTTCATTTTATTTGCATATGATTATTTGTAAATTACCCAAGTTTGAGGTGCCATCCTCGTCGATAAACTGTTTGGTGTGGTCGTGTGTGGATTGTGTGGATAAAGTGAACAACTAAAATACATACCTGGATTGCAGCGATCAGCGGCTCACCGGATCGGGGAGTGATAAGGTTGCTTTTCACGCCCATCAAAAGACTAGCTTCGGCCTTTGCTTCATACGTCTGTGGCACATGCAAATTCATTTCGTCACCATCAAAATCAGCATTATACGGCGTACAAGCACATTCGTTGAACCTATACTCTAGTTTAAAATAAAAGAAACGATCTAAGAATTAGATAGCAAGCAACCTGAACGTTCGTCCTGGCACAATGCGCGCACGATGGCACATGATGGAGATTTTATGTAACGAGGGCTGCCGATTGAATAGCACAATATCACCGGTATCCAAGTGGCGCTCAACGATATCTCCTACTTTCAAGCTCTGTGCACATGTTTCTCGGCTTCCATACCTGAACGGCATAGTTTACTATAACCAAAAATTCAATGTATACTCACTTTAAAAGCCGTTTGGTCCCAGTAATACGGTCAATCACGTAATTGGCACCGGGGTGGATGTCCGACCCATTCAAAATCAGCTTCTTCATACGTTCTATGTTGTAATTGTTGACCACCTCAGGGAAGGTCAAAATGAGAGCGACGTAAACTGGAACACCCACTTCGTCGATTCGCAAGTTTGGGTCTGGCGAGATGACCTGGAATGAAGAAATTTCAAAAGATTCGAATATTACCAGTCTGACGAAGCTACAAGGATTTAAAACAAACAACTCAAGAGGAAGTGAATGCTCTCTTCTTCAGATAACTAAAAAGTGA